TGTAATACAGAGATGTTGCTACGCGAGATTAAGGAGCATGAAAGCAGAGTCTCGTGAAGAGGTTGTTGCGTTGTTTTAAAATTTTGTATTTTTCCTCTTATCTGTTTTGTTATCATTGTTGTTATTGTTTTTTTATTATTATTGTTGTTGTTGTTTTGTTTTTGTTATAAACATTAGCAGTCTTGTTTTGTTATTGGTATAATTAGTAGTAGTAGTAGTAGTGGTAGTAGTAGTATTAGATTATTGTTATTGGTGTTATTGTTCTTATAATTTCAGTAATGATGATAATATAGATGATAAGAATAATAGTTTGAATAATAATAATGATAATTATTAGTATTATTATTATTGTTATCAACATTATTATTATATCATCATATTATCATATATATAATATTATCATGATTATAACAACCATTACTTTCATATAGTTGTTAACATTACTGTTATTACTTTCGTTATTATGATCAATAAGGTTTTCACGATTTTTATTTGCTATTACTGTCATTGTCATTTTCATTTTCTTTTCTTTATTCTACTTCAAACTCGGCTGTATAATGAGCTGATAATGAGGTGGTTTATAACAAACAACGAGTTTTAGAACGAGGCGCTTAATGGGATGTTGAGTAAGCTGTAATTGGGTGGTTTAAAGCGCAGTGAGTTACAAGGTCACCTTACCAATAGTCATATGACTCTCAAAGGCACGCAGGCAATAATTATTTTATTATCTGTGAGAGAAAAGATTTGATAAGATTTATTTCTGATAAGGGAGACGAAAGCGAAGGTTGAGCAATGTACGGTGAAGGGGTTAAGTTAGCATCTGAAGGGGGAAAAGTGGTCATGGTTTATTTTATTGATACAGAGAGTCTTTTCTCTCTGTCGTTCTCTCTGTGTCTTTCTCTTCTCTCTTTCCTCTCTCTCTCTCTCTCTCTCTCTCTTTCTTTCTTTCTCTCTCTCTCTCCTTTCTCTCTCTTTCTCTCTCTCCTCTCTCTCTCTCTCT